CAAGATAGCCTTACGTAGATTTGACGAGTGGGCCTAAATTGATCGACGATCGTCTCTAGGCTGTGAGCACACGTACAGATGGGGCAGACGCATGTTTACGTATACCTCAACTCTGTCAAATAAACAGGGACTCTTCTTTCTGTTTGTTTGGCATTGAATTGGATCAAATTGTTTACAGATAATAATTGAGCCGTTCAAATACTAATATCTATTCAGTGATAATGTAGAGCTGAAAAATGCCGAGCGATCTCTAGCTTCATTTTGATATATCAGTTATACAGACGTGAGCACCGACGAGTAGCGATGAGAACAGCGAGATAATTGAAGACAGCGGCCATTGCAGTAACAATAACACCAAAACGCATCAAAAACATGCCATCCAGAAGCTGACTTAGGCGAAGAATCTCCTCGGCGGGATGACTTAATTCACTCATTCGTTTCTCTTGTGTCCCGCCGTAGCGAGTAGTGAATTCTTCAAAGGTGGTATATCTAGGGGGTTATGTAAATCTTAGCTGGCGTGTATACATTTTTCCGTTGAACGAGGTGATTCATGCTGTACGTGCTATCTAATGTTACATTTTCTGTCACATTCGTTTGCCTGGCGTGTTTCACACGTGACTCCAATTATATGCTGGTCCGTCTAGCCAGGAAGTACAAAAACATATTTCCCAGATAAGCAAATTACTAGCTTCTCGCTAAATGGCCTAAACGAGTAATAATAATAATAGTAGTAGTAAATATAATTTCGATGAGCGTTTGGACCTATATCGATACAGTAATTTGCGTTGTGCTTGTCTAGGATAGTACGATACCACTTTAAGGACCATTCGTTGAAACAATAAAGAGGTGGTCTAGGCACTTTCTAGATTTGTGTGTATTGTCCTCTTTCGACATAACTGGAATCAACTTCACCACAAAAATTCAACACCTGAAAGGCACATACGAAGCGGTATGTGCCTTTCAGGTGTTGAAAGGCACCTGAAAGGCACATTTTTCATGCGACATGTTGCGGTCGCATGAGTTCACCTACGACCGCAACGATAATAATAACAATAAAAACACAAATATCAGCCAGCTCGAGCGATAAAAGCATATTCCCTTCGAAGCTGAGTAACACAGACGATTGTACCGTAAATGACGTCTTTCCATAGGGACTATTAAAAGATTACATTCTTCTAACTAATAGTTCAACAGAATCTATTTGTATGAAGATAACAATCACACTTCAAAATGAGAGCCGCATTTAAAATAGCTACAAAATAAAAAAGCCATAAAAAATCAAAAGGATCACAATCTTATTTATGAAAAAATAATGTCTGACAAGTAACAAAGACACTAATTAATCTCTTAATTAGGTATCTAATAAAGCGTTATCTCTAAATCTTTTCTTTGTTCCATTTCCCAAAGGGGTTGTACCTTCGTGTTTGTGTCTGTTTGATATTCTAACCAACAGGGGTGCGGACGTTGTGGTTACTAAACTGACAAGACCGACGTCTCTTGAGGAAAATGTTCTCCGCATAGGAACGTGCGCTCGAGGTGACATTTTATAATCTCTACAATAGCATATCAGCGAAATTGTACAATGCGTATACATAGTCCAGACTACGAAATTTCATCTATATATCGAGGGAGCCGGAGACGTATCCACTGTCTTTCGATCAGCATTGAAGCAAACATCATCTATACCTGAAAGCAGTATTGCTAAACGGAACATGTACCACTGATCGGTAACCGTCCGTCATTTTTCTGGTAACAACATCAGTCACCTATAGAACTTACATATAGACGAAACATGTAGCAAATGACTTCTGCATCTTTCTATTAAAGCTAAATTAACACTATCAACAAAGAGGCGCATGATAGTCCGATGGTAGAAGATTCGATGCATTCACATATTTCATTCAAGTTTTTATTAACTTCTGCCGTCTAGCTGCACATGGTCTGGCATTATCGTGGTAGGCAACGACACCTTTTTTGCTTACCGATACCGGTCGATTTTTTCCAATTGATAATTATAGTCTTGTTAGTTTTTAATAGTCTTTAAGAGGAATAGGAACTCATAAAGCACGATTCCTTTCCGATCCCGCCAAACACACCAAGTTTTCCTCGTAGGCATTCGTTAGGGCTTTACCAAATTGTAAAGCTTTCCCTCACACTGGCTATGATCTTTTTTAGCACATTGACTTTTCATGAGCCTTCGATTTCGTTGCGTTCGGCAGAGTTTCGCAGATAGAAGTAAGATCGAGTAAATTATGTGGCATAGATTCGTGTGGCACCCAAACGTCGCGCTGGCTCTTGTAACCAGCCTTCTTCAAACGACTTGGCGGTGTCGTGGTGCACTGAAGTGTTGGTCTTGGTCAATTTTACCAATAATTTCATCAGCTTGCTTCATTCTTAGTCTACTATTATTATTATTATTAAGAGCGCCCTTTACATCGGAGCTAGAAGTGACAAGATCATTTTTAGGCCACTTCTTCTAATAACGCATTTTAAGCGTAAACAGCAGATATTTTTTTATGAGCCTGGCCAGCATTTATACTTCTATTATAATCAAATTGTAAACTATAGTAGGTTTTCGCAAAAAATACATTTGTCTTCAAGGAGATTTACTGTCTAAATGAAGAGATTTTAACAATTTTATCATGTCCATCTACTGCTGTCAAATCAGCTTTCAAATGACACTAGCGCCGACCCGACCCGACCCGACCCGACCCGACCCGATACGATTCATATTAGCTGAGACATGTTACCTTAGAGCAATTTAGCTAGAAAAACCGTCAATACTGTTTTCTCTATTCAATATGTGTATATATATACACCAAGTCAACGCGGGAAATATGTCCAATTCAATAGACTCTGATATATTTGGGGTACGTAAGAAGTTGCCAGCCAGTAAGTTCATGTAAACGTGCAAAAATAAGCAGATCGTCAAGGGATAAACTCAATAGTGTGTATCAGGTTTGCATTGACAAAAAACAGTGCTTTAAAGTAATCTCTGTTTTCGATTAAAATTTAATGTCGAAATAAACAGAACAGATTACGATCGCACACCACTGAATAATTATGGCTCAATTTCAATACTGTTACTCATCGGGATGAAGAAATCCTGAGAGAAAATGTCTCACAAAAAGTCATTGTATGGAGCGAAAAGATAGGCCCTTTATCATCACGGCGACCTCTGCCGTAACATCTTGCAAACCTATTCGTAGACCGTTGCTTACATCGGATAGAGCAACCCTCCACGAACGCAAGTATCCTGGTTAAATCCGCGCTTCCAGCTCACCTAATCTAAAGGAACAGGCTGATTTTTTGAAGCTATATGAAAAACAGAGTCCTGAATCAAGGAAGTGTGAAACGGACGTCGAACTACACGAAAATAGGATGAAACGTACAAGTGTAGTCTCTGGCAAGACTAGGCTGAGCTAGGCTAACGTAAGACTAGCTTAACTTTTGTTTTTTATTTGAAAGCATCTGGCAGCTTATATTAACGTAACGTATACATTAATTTTAAATAACCTATAATAACGGTAATAAACTCGGTAAATATCGTAATAAATAATGTAACGTATAGGCACAAATCAAAACGAACGCTCAGCTTATCAGCTTAAGGAAACGATCAGCTTATTTACCAACGCGAATGAGATCCTGTGGATTTTAAATCCGACCAATTGTACAGGGTACCGCAACTAAAGACTCATTTCTCATGCTGAAATATATCGATTAACTAAAAGCAGATATACTGACAAGCTTTTTACAGGTACTAGAGATGTTGTTCCTGACGATCACGTTTATGTATTATAACCACAATTAAAACCCCTATTCGGGACATAAGTCATTTTGAAAGAATAATAATCGTACGTCGACCGATTCTAGTAAATACAATGTCTTTAATAATGTCGTTCAAATATACAATCTGTAAAAATTCAAGGAAATTGGGCTCACAGTAGATCAAAAGTCTCAAAACTGCAATGGTTCAAAAAACTCGAGACGTCTCAAGCTCTTTCCTAATATTTTCCTCTTCAAAACGGCCGTTATAGCCTATATAAAAAAATCTAGGTATATCAAAAATGGCTGTTTGAGCCATTTCATTTAATTGTTTTTTTGAGCTTTTTGTATCATAAAACTCGTTGAGGATCTCACGGAAATCTTCCTTAAACTCGAAAAGTCGCCCAACAACGTCAACCGTCCATTTCGGCCAAAAAAGGCCATCTTCATCAACGCGGAGATCTTCGATAACCGCTTCCTTTCTTTCAAATTGCAAAAACGACGCAATGTTTTTTCATTATGGCAAATTCGGTACTTTGTTCTAGAAGTAGGCTTTCTCTAGTACCAACAACGGCGAATGAACGCATGCCGGTTGCGATGAATAACCCGCCAAGGTTCGGCCCAATTTATACGCCGCATCTTGTAATTATACACAGCTGTGCTAAATCACTTTTTCTTTCCATGATAGCAGAATAGTTTACTTATTCAAATAAACATTTTCTGCACATGCTTGCTTGACTGTAAAGGATTGGTAGATTGTACATGTGTTTCAACTACAAATTTAGAGTTCGTCCCTAAGTTTGTTCATGCCTTTTGTGGTCTATATATGCATATGGATATATATGGATGAACGACAGGAGCGAGGGCTAAAATCAGGGAAATCGTCGTTTTTTTTTTTTATGAAAAGGAAGTTGATTTGTATTTGTAGTGTGAGTTCGGCAGGCTTGGCCTTTGTAGTTTTTACGGTCCAACACTGTACTGGAAAGAACCTAAGCCCCTTTGTCCGAAACATCCTAAAATCACCAGCACCTGCTTGTCCGCTTCTTACCCAATTGGGGATTGTTAGGGACGTTAGAAGGATACATACACTACACTTAACACTGCGAAAATGTAAGGCTTGTCGAACGAGCGATTAAGTACGTCCGAACCAATTGGCAAATCACGCCAACATGGTTTTTCTTTTATTTTTTTGAACAGATTTCTGTGTTTCGACGAAAGAGTAGCGCAAAAAAGAAAATATGGCAGCGAGGTTCCAAGATACGAAACACCCTTTTATGGACGCTCCCCTGCATTTCTGTATAGGTCGGGCGATGACAACTACTCTGTTTTGATCCGTCATCCACTATTGTCGCAGACAAGATAAGTACGTAAGTCAGTTTTTCTACTTCATCACGGCCAAAAATTGCAAACAGCAATTATTTTGGGTATGTTCAATATAACCGTTGCGATGACGCCATATTTGCGTAAGGTAAATTTTATATGTCAACAAATGGTCCTCTTTTGTTTTCCACCACACTAATAAACTAGATAACCTCCCTATTTCGAGCTATTAGATATGCCATCTGACAGATGACCGGCTGGCGCCCTGTGTATACGCCCGGATTCGAACCCGAAGGACAACGAGTCCCAAAGGAAATTGCAGGCAGAAACGTTACGCACTAATCTATCACGGGGGCAAAGATCACTGAAATCCGATGGAACAGCGCAACGTGCAATACATCCTGGCATGAAATTAATAGCACGTTTGCCTCAGGTTGGGGCAAGCTGTGTCAACCTATACGTCGTATCCACACACCCACATGTTCCAAAAGCTTCTCGATGGGCGACGGTGTACCCCATAAACGTATAATCGAAAACAAAAGTTAAATGACGCCTAAATTGATTATGTAGATTGCCATATGGGCTTTGCATTACTCCAAAACTAATACAAATGAATTCGGTTACATTGTTCACACACGTATATAAACATTGTATGCATTTGCCCATTTAAGACACATGTCGTTATGCAACTCCCTGAACATATAAGGGCAAGTATCTGATAGGCGTGATAGCTTAATGGGTGCTTTGTTTAAAGACACCTGATTCGAATGCGTCTGATGGGGTGCCAAACGTAAAACTTCAAATATCGACTTTGAGTAGATAGAGTTTGGGGAAACGTTGATTACGATTCGCAAATTTGGATCGGATCCGTGCAGCAGAGCAATATAGTAGGCTACAACGAAGTTATACACTCGTAAGGGTTGAATTTTTCCCAAAAGTCAATAGGCCCACGGCTTCTCTGTGAAGGTCGTCGGCGAGTAGGCTTGGTAGTTATCGAAAAAGATGAAAGAGGCACGCACAGAACAATAAGAGTAAGTGGGCCATGATGTAGACCTATTCTCATTGCATTTGCCTTAAAGCAACTTTGCTCTGCGGACAGGTAAAACAAACCCTTACTTTCTAAACCAGATAAATCAACTTCAGCTGGTTGTAAAGAAGACTAAGCGCTGAAGGCACGGGTGAGTATCATCGAAACATTTTTGATGACAAGCAAATTTTCACCCAACGCAAAAGTCGATGTAGGTCATACCGTAAGGAAGTTCGTCTGCGCGGCTCATGAGTTAATATGGTGCCCCCCCCCAAAACAGCGCGCACCAAAGAGAACGGCGTTGCTCAACCGAAAGTAAAGAATGGCATGCCCTCGCAGTGTCTACCATATAGTTCCGATTGTGCTCGCAGTGCACGAAGCTGCTTAATTGCCGATTACAATTAATTGTTTCTCACTATTGATTTTAACGTTATGATGATCGTTGCACCCGCTGGAGGTAAAGGTAGCACAAAGTATCTTAGCACTCTTAGCGCATGGCTAAAGATGGCAGAGATGCTTCTCGGCTTCATAGTATCGTTGCTTCTGACGGCCTGGAACGACTCATGCACGATTTCTTCCGCCCGATTCTTGCACTTAACGTCATTTACGTTCCTTGTTTACACATCGGTGCACTTTATAGCCGTGCTGATACGACCGTCTGCAGAAAAGTATATGAACACTTCGTTGAATCTCATCTATCATATCGTGGCGGTCATCTTCTACTTCTGCGGATTCCTTGGCACAATCGTTCAATCAGGAGCTGTTGGCACAGTGGTTGGTATTGGAATCGGATTATTGGGCTTTATGACCACTGTAATATACTTGGTTGACGTGATAGTGATATATAAAAATCGCGGCATAACGGACGTCGAGTCTATCGTGCTTACTAATAAATTTGCAAACGAAAAGACATAAAACATCTGACAGGTTTTTCAAAGCTGGAAAGCGGTGTTACTTTGTTTTGCTATAGGTTCTTGGGAGGAATCAACACACGTTAGATGCTGTATGTCGTATAGCTATCCGTATGACCTATAGAGGTGTTAAATACAGGCAAGGTGAATTGTAGCCACCTTGTAGCTGTGTCAAATATAAGTGAACGTATTAAAATCACTTACATTTATGTTTGTTATGGACGTATTATCGGTTCAGTGGCTATACGTCCAGCAACCGTTCCCTATAATTATCACTTGTTGAGACCGACGACCAGTTGGACGTTTATAGGGGCACCGTGCTCTCGATGCATAATTTCGAACGGATGTAAATTTTACGGAGGTAAAGCGGTTCGGTCAATCGCGCGGGAAATATTAAAAAACCAGGAAGTGCTTTTACGTAGTTCGATTCCAGAGTAATGTAGGGCAAATATTTCAGGGGAGAAAACTGGCCGGCCAACTTAACTTCTCCGCGAAGCGCTTTACAAAAGCAGACGACACCAATCCCTAATCTGACATCATCTTATTCCGAGCTGCTTTTCTAGTAAACGTTGAGGATTATTGTTTAACGATTTTCGTGATAATGCATTCACGCTTTTCGATTGTAGCTGATCGAAACTCTCAACATAGCGAGCATCTGCAATAAACGGTTAACGCAAGTACGGACGACGTAATTGATCATAGTTGTTGACAGGAGGAAGTTAGCCGGCAATGAAACTCGATTGGAGCCCATTCTACAAGACAAAAAAATGTTGTTCCTAAAATAAGGACCACATACCGAACCGTAGGATAACACGATCCACCTGCATTTGACTCAGATTTCCGGATAAGGTATGTCTAAACTAGGGTTTAAAGTGGTATTTAAGTAAAGATAGCTTTAATCAACCTATTAGTACATTAAGATGACACCCTTTGCTCGGAGCCAACGTTCGGAAAACTGTGTAGAATCCAACTTTTCAAGGGCCTTTTTTGAGTGGTGTGACCGATTCGATAGATCTCTGTGTGCAGCCTTAACAGGCACGAAAAAATGATGGCTTTGGCAAGTTCGTTAACATGAATCTCCGCTTTCGTGCATGTTCGATTCCAATTCACATGAAGCCCATATCAAATTGTGATGTGATTACAAAGAATACAATTGCAAATAGTCCAACAATGGCTGCGAAGCCCAGTTTTCGCGATCTTTTGTGCTTCTATTAGTTCATGTCCTATCCGTAAAACAATCGGCCTTCATCGAAGTCGCAGATCAAGCGATCATTTCAAATGTTAATAGACGACTCAAAATAAATAATGTAAAATCTCGTGCGCAAACACAGGCGATATATGATCGATTACTAAACATGTCTTCGGATGACAAGTACTAATGTGCAACTGTATGGATCTTATGATGCACTCTTTTTCTCTACCATGTAAGAACAGACCATATTTGTAAAATTGTTAAAGGCCGCGATTATTGGATAATTGGACCATCCTTACCCGGTAGAACTACGAGAAAGAGACTCAACATAGTAGAATGTTTTGAGGCTGTAAAAGGGTACAGATCATTGATGCTAATGATGACACTAGAAAATTCATAAAAGTTTAACTATATCAAATCATTCTTGCTGTCTATGTGCATTATACGAAATCTGCCTGAAACATCAGTTGCGGCCTAAGCTGATTGAAGGGGAAATGAAGTGGTGCTTGTCGTTCAGCATTTACCACCATTATTATTATTATTATTATAGTACATGTAGCTTGGCAGCGACTCGAAAGCTGACGTAGTGACAGCGGCCATCTATGTGCTCGGTATGCTTCACACAGACTGATTGTGTTAGCAAAAGTCATTGTGTTAACTTTTGCAGGACACCTGTACTGATCAGGCCCACTCAGGCCTAGCGAACAAGGGCTCTTCCCTTTTTGCAACAAAACGTGCCTATCGGAATTACATTTTGGCGGAGAGGAGGACGATGACAGCACAAACAATTCAATAGGACACGTGTGGATGGCAAGACAATGTATCTGGGCGCGTTTACATTAGCAAATGACCTCATTCTCCAATCTGTAGTATACAACATGGCATTTTGCACCATGAAGCCAAATCTGAGCCACGACGGTGTATTTCTTCTGCGTCATAGTAAGTAAACAGACTCGAGCGTCTGCGTACCCGTTTTTGCTAAGCTGATATTGGATTGACCGCTCCCGATGCAAATCGCATCCGATGAATAATCATCCAGCCAATTGACTTTACACGGAATTTCTGTACTCGTTCACGCACAAACAAGACGTCTGACCTCTCGCCACGGCTCTTTGGACCTCCCCATCAGTTGTCCTGTTCTTATGTAAAAACTTTTGCTCGTTAAAAAAAACCAGCGGGGGTCTATGAACGAGCTAAACGCAGCAGAAAGGTGCGGATGTAACACTGCGTACCTTCGCACCATCAGTGCAGGGTTAAAAATGGGTGAAATGTTTCTTGCGCTCATTATCATATTGATTATCTTAGCCGGGGGGGAAGAATGCCTATGTGAGTCCGCATCGTTCCTAGAAATGACTTCCTTCTCTTTTCTCGTTTTTACCTCGGTGCACTTCATCGCTGTTCTCGTACGGCCGGCATCGGAGCAATACGTTAACTCGCCGATAGGTCTCGTCTTTCACGTAATTGCCGTTTTCTTATATTTATGTGGCACGCTTGCCACTCTTGTTCATTGCCGTGGCCGAGGCTATGCTATAGCTGCAGGGGCAATGGCTATTTTTAACACGATTCTTTACGCTGCCGACGCTGCTTTTATTTGGAAAGGAGGTGGCGACAAAGCTCTCAAGACTCTTTTTCCGTTTGCCAACTGAGCTTCATTCATGAACCCAGCATCCCTAGGCTTCTGTGTCGTATAGCCTATAGTCTTACTCTTTCGATAATAAAGCTAGCACTGAGTATTGCGACTACGATTATTTAAATGTCGATATTTTCTGTACTCATTCCTTCAGCGGTTCGTTCGGTGTATTGTTAGTCCATCATCAATTCAGGAAAACTAATGCTTAGTATTGAGAGGTGCGACACCTACAGATTTTCGACATCTAAACTGGGACAGCGAATGTACCAGCTAAATGTTACTTGATCGTGGCTAGACCCAAAACTTATGGGGTACTTCAGGAGGGAGTTGGGGAGAACCTTCAGGTATCACGAGCCTTTCTTGTCCTGCTACGAGCCAAGTGCACCGATCGTGGTGGCTGCAAACGGCGCATCTTCAAAACAGGTCGATGCTCGATTTTTATTTCATTGAAAAGAGTTTTTTGCCGTCATAGCGTGTAGTAAATTATTGCCGACGGGCTCTAGCAGGGCTGCGCCGGAAAATGGATATATCATAGATGCAAGCCACTTTAACGTTATTACATAATCACTATAAAACAAAAATTGCTCATGATTTAAAAACGGGTTATCTGGTTATTACGGTGAGCTGATTTTGAGCTTGGGGCTGGCAGCTCACAATTTTGGTACCCATCATTTTCAATCCTGACGCTATTACGATCCGAAATTCGTATGATATAAGACAAAAATGACTTCAAATTAATTTGAAATCTTTTCTTTTTTTTTGCTTATTGCGCTTTTTGTTCTAAATAGAAATAGAGCTTCGACAGTTTGCTTCAACTGCTATTCCTTCACTTCCTACCGTTCACTGGTGACACGTACTAGCCAAATTGAAGAGTCGAACAAGTACATAGTCGGAGTTATGGATCTGTTTACTTAGGCGCGTATACACATATTTGGCAATAAGCAAAGAGACTAACGGATGTGTTTACGAATTTGAAAAGCAATAGATAGAATTAAAAAAAAAAAATACTTCATTACACTATTACGTTGCTAAATGCAATAAGCTTTTTTTTTGTTTTGCTTTGTCCTTAGTACCTGTCGAACCACCAGCTTGTCGAGCTGATGAAGACTAGTCCATTTGAAGATTGCGTACAGAGAGACCTGAACCTCGCAACGACGAAGTTAGCTTAGACAGGTAGAAATATACTTGATTCGTGAAGCTGAACGCTACTGTTATCTCGCTCGCTTCGTAGCAGATGGTCATGAGGAGAGAGACCATATTGGAGCTTATTTCTTAATGATAGACACCGTTCGGCTTGCTTAGATGTGCATTTTAATCAAGCGGCAGAACGGGCATCTAAAGAAGGCCCTTTGCTAAATCGCGCTGTTTAATCCCGCCCAATTATTAGTACTATACCTTCCTATATCTTAAGTCCCAATCGTTCTTAAAGGTAAAAGAAACCCTCATTAGCCAGTCTCTTGACATGGTATTGTATAGAAGACTGCTTGCCACAAACTGCTCGCCGCCCTGGTAAGGAGACCAACTCTGTGTCTGGAAACCGTCAGTATGATCCCGGACGAGCAACACGGCTTTCGATATAACCGATCAACCATAATGGCATGTAAGACTGTGCTTAATATCCGACACCCAGGAACTGCTAATGGAGGATGGAGCCTTCAAAGAGATTGTAAAGTTTATAATGGAGATAAGTATTAGTAATGGCGTGGCACACTTCTCATAATCATGGGTTCGATACAAAGGTATAACCTCAGCCTCAGAAACCTCGTAAAGATAGTCGTGTTCGTTGACGACCTTGTAAACTATGAAGGTGGCCGTTTCCAAGTTCAGCAGGTTTTAGCTAGGGTGTATGTAGCTTCAGTAGAGCTCAATTTAACTGTGGAACTGTGACGACGGACTTTGAGAAGAGGTGGCGGATTGCCTCCAAAAACGTGTTGTTTATCGCAAGATTGCCCCTCATTTATGTAAAAGAGTTCCCCTATCTCCGGCCACATTTTCCGACGATAGGGGTTTTCCGTCGCACGTCACCAAGAAATAAACTCCAGGGCAATGGTAGCGTTGTCCACCATCAGGGATCTCTCTCTCTTCTGTCAATCTTGGGTCGACTAAGTCACCTCAAAACAGCCTCTGTTGAACGTATTCTTGGATTCCATCACTTGACATTTCTAGTCGTCGAAAACCTAGG